AAGGTGCCCATACACTGCTCGATTCTCGTACGAGAATCGGGCGAAATCCCGCGATCGTACGAGAATCGAGCAGTGTGAACTAAGACGTGCGACCGTTTCTACTGTACGGTCGCACGTCTTTTGTCGAGCCAACATGTTCGAAAACCCGCCGAGAATCGTACGATTCTTGGCGGGTTTCTAGCCTGCTCGCCCGATAGCTGCGGAACGGGCCGGTGTGCGCATGCGCACACTGCCCGTTCTGCATTGCCGTCAATAGAAGCCCGCCCCTCAGCGGGGCGGGCTTTCGATGATCGCAAGTACGATCTGCCCGGTACGTCAGATCGTACGGGCTTTCAAGAAGCATACGACCATCGCAAGACAAAAGTCTTGCGATGGTCGTAAGGTGTATGGGCACCTTTACAGTCAGTTTCTAACAGTTTAAAAACACCTGGTGTGTGTGTTTACATTAGATGGCTGGCAGCCTGCTAAGATTCTGCTCTCCATAGAAAACATAGGGGTAAGAAGTTGCATTCCTCCTTTGTGAACTTCGAGCATGAACTTCAAGGATCAGCCGAAGCTACAGCTAGATCCTTCGGCATCTTCGTGAATAGACCCCTAAGAATTTGTTTTTGCTTCTTTTCGCACAGAGCAAACATTACCATTACCAGATTTGCAGGGCAAATGGCTCTGCAACTTGTTTATAAATAGATTCCCAACTGTCATTGTTATTGTTTGGATGGAAACCTTGTATTTGTGAAGTGACATTCTAGCCAAAATCTTTGTGTGTATGGCGGGTAATCTTATTTTATCTGTTATAAACAAATACCATTACAATATACAGTATCAGAACTTCCTGTTATCAAACTTGATAGCTGAATGTTTAAACTCACTCAGTGGACGGCTTGCTGAGTTTCTCTGATTTTCATTCTGGTATTTGCTTTGTGCACTGAGCTTACTGCTAGTTAAATCATTACATAGTTAAATCATTAGCATTTGAATGACACTGAATCACAGCCTGTAAAAATGTTGGTTCCTAGATTCAGGTACCACCCTCTCTCTGCTGCTATGTCAGCATTGTGCATGCACACGCACACGCACACACTCACACACATTGGATTGTAACAACATGTACAGCATGTAATAATAAGAGTGTGCTGTCCTACATAGAATCAGTACAAGAATCTTTCTTAACGAGGCTACAAGAGGTTGTAAGAAAGATAAATTAGTAGGACTACCTGATGTTAGCACAGTTGCGGTTTTTAAAGCATATGCTGGCATGGCATGTGGATTAGTTTGGCTGGATGCTTTGAGCAGTGGTCATAAAGAGAGTGCAGACTCCATGTGGTAGGCAGAATACCATGCATAAATAATGGCATTACACTTTCTGGGCCTTTCTGGATCTCCGTTAGTGATGGGCAGCTACTGGACTAAGAGTCAGTGAAGACACCATGCCCATTTGTGATGGGATGTTCATTTTCTTCTTTCAGCTCTTTTTCAGATGCTCCTGTTCAAAAGCAAATTCATGTAAGAATGTTATATGTAACAGTTATGTGTACACAGCAGTTTAATGGACAGTCACCATTGGCTGATGTTCCAAGTAGTTTATGGGGCTGCCAAATTCCCTAAGTGGTATGTCTCACAGCTGAAGACTGTCTTTCACAGAACACAAGAACAGATTACTTTCCAAGGACTAAAGTGAAATATATTGTCAGTGAGCTTTTTATATTCAGTCTTTCTGTAAATGACTAAGTCATTCCTGAGGCATATACTGTATACTGTCATGTCAGAGTATCCCGAGCATTAAGCATCTATTGACATTGGCAGCAGGTCTCTGCCAGTACTACCTGGAACCCTTGTTATTGTATAATTTATATCCAGCACATTTTTTTGTTATACAGTAATACCAGTGAAGAAAAGAAGTATCTCACTATGCAATTCTTCTCATTATTGCAGCTCCCTGATTTAGCACCATGTAAAACCAATGAAGATTGCACAGCCACTTCTTTTCGTCAAAGTCAAGGTATGCCTTTTTTACTGTGAAAAAGCTTGCAATGATTTATTTTATAAAGATAAAAATATGAACTATTGTTAAGTGCATCCATATAATGCTTTAATGTTATGCAAGGCATATAATTATAATAGATATCACACTTCCAATGTATTATCTTTTTCCTTTCTGTATCACTATGTACATTCTATACAATCATGCAATAATTTACATAAATGATAATAGGCAGTGATTTTTGGTAGTGGCTTGAATAGGCGTCTAACGGGATAAATGAAATACTGGTCATATTTGAAGTGATTTTCTCACAATAAAAGATATTATCGAGTACAGGTACCTAGAAGTCCCTTTCTGATGTGATCGACAAAGCTTTGTTTGTGTTCAAGATAGCTCTCCCCATTGTATCTCATGCACATTTTATTACCCAGTGAGACAGCCCATCATAGCCAATCCTTATTTAATAGGAATGTGTGGGAAATGGAAGGTAATGGGCAACCACTGACACTGGCAGAAATCACAGGAACTTTGGGGATCAGAACAGCCCGACATTCAGGTATAGTGACTTGGGACTTGCAATCTGCTGCAAGCATGTTAGGAACCTGCAATTCATACTTCATGGCAGCTCTTTTATGCCCGGTTCACACCTGGGCGTTTTATAGTGCGTTCCTACGCTCTGCAAAACGCTCAAACTCCGAAATCCCATTATTTCCTATGGGTATGGTTCACACCTGGGCGTATTACAGGCCGTATGAACGCGCTACAAAACGTCCTACGCCCAAAGAAGTACAGGAGCTTCTTTGGGGCGTATTTGCCGCACGTATCCATTGGGATACAGCCAAGTAGCCCTCGGAAACGCGTGTTTGTTGCGCGTTTTTAACCGCGAATCGCAGTAAAACGTGCGACAAATGCGCATATTCAATACACCTAGGTGTGAACCCAGCCTTACTGTTGCTGAACATCTACACCAGGGGTGGCAAACTCAAATTCATCGGGGGCCGCATCAGCAGTGTGGTTACCCTCAAAGGGCCGGTTGTATAGGACTATGCATCTACTCTTTATTATCATAGTAATAGTAATCATGGTTTCCTCAAGAAAGTTCTCCTGTGGACGATACCAGCAGTCTGCAACCCTCCTTTTCAACTGGCATGGAATTAAATTATTTTCATAATAATTATAAGCAGACATCCAGAGCACCCCACTCCCAATACAGCAGATGTCAAGAGCCCTCCCACCATCAAAAGTACGCTACGTACACAGTGCAGGGGTCAGGATTGCGCCTAAAAATTCCTCACATCTGTACTCTCCCCTACCTT